AAAAAAAAACTGGTGTGAGGTGGTGGCTGTTTTACCTTAGAGGTCTCAATTTGGGATTGTTTGTTTTCTTTTCACATTTTTTTTTTCTCAGAAACATACAGAGTGCTTAGTGACCTATTTCATTGGTAAATATTTTGAGAAGGAAGCTTGCAATGGGATTATACACAATCCAGACAAAATGGGTCTACCCAGCTCCCCAAGTAATCTCTAAGCAACTGGGGAAAGGTTGGTCTGATCCATGGAGTCATGGAAACGCTTTAAAATCACCAGTCAATCTTGACCTGGATTCCTTTTGGCAGTTACATTGAATCAGCCCCTCTGGAGTTGACATTTTGTCCTAATGATGATTGTATTATTCAACCAATACAAATGGAAAATGACCTAATCAATGTTCCATTCAGACAAGACTTAGATCTATAGTGAATGACAGGAGACTTTCCAAGTAAAGGTCCTGGAAATGTGTATGCAACACATAAAATCTCAACCCACGGATGGTGGACAGCCTCAGCCAAGTCAGGAAAATATGCCCCCAAAGAGGAATAGGCTGGGCCATGGAAGGAACTCAGGAGTAAAAATCAGAAGGCTAGTGGCTAAGTCCCAGTTCACCCCTTCAGTAGTATAATTTGGAGTATGTTACTTAACCCCTCAAAGTATCTTTTTGGGGAAGGGGAGAGGAAGGAAGACATTTTCTCCTGACCCCTTCAAAGGGTTATTGTGTTAATCACATAATATTATGTTTTGGAAAAATTTTACCATCTAAAAATGCTTTGTATCACCAATGATCTTATTAAATTATTGGACACCCTCCTTGTTTTAGTGGGAGTCCTTGGGATTCTTTGGCAAGCTTTGGGCCTTCAAATTAATGCTACACAATACAAGAAAATAGAACACTAGAACATTATTGGGCCAGGACCGTGCCCTGTAAAGACTTGTACCCGCATTCTGTTGTTTCTTTTCAACTGCTCATGTTCTTTAGGACCACTGCCTCTGGTAGAAGAGAATTGTCTTCTGGGTGGTATGGGTGAGAAAGTTGCCAAACAAACCTGAATTATCCAGAGGCCTGTAAAATGCGCAATTGCTTTTTAAGAGGCATGGTGATATTGTGTGTTCCTTTCGATTTTTGGCAGTAATGGTTTTCTGCAATTTGTGGTTTTGCATTTTCTCTTTTCACAGACAACACCCTGGCTCTCATTCAATGCCCCATTGGTGGGGGTGAGGTGAGGGAAGAGAAAGATTCCCTGGAGCTCTGACTCCTCCAGAAAAAGAAGGAAATGTTAATGAAATAAGTCAGAAAGAACGCTAGAGACTAGTGGAAGCTGGTTGGTTATGGGGGAAGAAACAACTTTTAATAAATTGCATGGTGTGGCTAGGATTTTAGCTGCGGCTTTCGTTGTCTGGGTAAAGATCTGTTCTCTTAATTCTTCTTGCCTCTCGACAGAGCTTTATTTGGATTACAATGTCAATCTTTTTTCTTTATTTCCTGTTTTCAATAAGCCTAGAGCAGCCTCTTTCACTGGCTCCTTGGCCTCTTCTGGAGGGATTTTCTTTAAATATTCCATCTCAGTATCCATTTGCCAATTACATTAACTTGGTTTGTGTGAATTAACTCAAGATCTATGCACAAGAATGTTTTGCCCTCATTCCGGATGCCTTTTCTTTCCCTTCCCTATGGCTTAATGCTCTTTGCAGAGGAGATCTATGGCCAGCAAAGCAGTACAGGGATATAGCGTTTATCTAGGCGAGAGTGGTTCTGTTTCTATTCATCACCTCTGGAAAGGGTTCGCAGACTTTTGTTTGCTTTTTTCTGGCTGCTAGGCACTGTGCTGAAAGATTTAAAGTTGCATCCAGTGTTAACCTTGTATTCCTTCTCTGTTCACTTTTTTATATCAAAATAGTCCTCTGTTTCCCATGGAGTGGATTCCCAGGGCTTATGCCCATCATTCATGAGCTTCCCATGCACAAAGGCCACATATTTCTTCTCTTGTTATGACCTAAATGACACTGCTTCTTGTGCTTCTATGAGGAATATAAAGGTAATTGCTACTCATATGTTAATTACAATCCCCCAAATTTCATGTATTATGGGAAAATATGATTTTACTGTATGTTTGTGCTAAACATTTAGGGAGTTACTTTTGTTACGGAATCACAAATCATGGAACTTTGATTTTGGAAGATGCTTTCAATATGATGCGGTTCAATAGCCCACCCCTAGCTGTCCTCCTCACATCTTCTCTCGAAGCCCCTCCTCTATCTCACATGGTAACCTAATCCATTTTTTAATAGCTCAATATTCAAACTTTCTTTTGCTAACCTAAGATAACCTCCCTATGTCTTTGGGTCATTTGTGCTGGTTTTACCTTCTGGAGCAGCTCAGAAGTTGACTCCTTCTCCACATGACAACCCTCCAAATATTTTGCAATCTGATCCCATATAACTCTCTGAGTCTTCCTTGTCCAGGCTAAACATCCCAGTTCCTTCAGCCATTCTTCATATGACTTGATTTAGTTATCCTTTTCCATTTATCCCAGTTGCATTTTTCAGTGCTCCTTTCAAAATGTTACAGCCTGAACTGAAAATAATACTGCTGAGATGACTGACCAGTAGAGTTTCTAGAAAAAAACAAAACCAAAAAGAAATTCTCATTCTGGTGTGAGTTTTACTACAATAACTAAGAGCACATCAAAAATGTTAATAGCACTTTAGTCCTGAGATTTATCTAAAACCTCTAGATACAAAAGCTGCTATAAAAACAGATTTTCCAGTCATGTATCTTTGCACTTGGTTTTGAATACGATGCAAAATACATTTATCCCTGCAACACTTAGTAATTTCGGAATATAAGTAAAAACTACGAGGAGTTTTTTGAATTTGAATTATTTTAAATCATTTGCCAGTTTGTTCTGCCTCTTAGGCCCATTCAAGAGATTGGTAAAGATAGTGAATATCTGAATTTTAACCCCTCAGAGGTGGAACCATGTTTTATTCATCTTTGTCTCTCCTGAAATGTCTGTGATATTCTCTTAAACAACCAGATGTTCAGTAAATGCTTATATTAAATCAATCAACACAATAAAATACAAAGTAACTTTCCAACACCGGGGACTTATCTTTAGATTGATATCTGGGCCCTTTAGAAACTAAGATAAATACTTACAATACACTATACTGCTAATGCTTGGCAATTTTGTAGCATTATAGAGTTAACTAATAGTACCACCTCAAGGACTAGATAGCCTGAATTCTAATCTTGCTGGA